CACCTCCATTTCCATTTTCACTGACTGGTTTTGTTGCCTGCATCGCATGCCAGGCCAGCCTCTTGCTTCTTTACTATTCCTTCCATCCAGAACCAGGAGACACAACAACTGCAGATGCTTCCTTGGCCTGACAAAGGGTTTTTCAGCCTGAAAGCTGCTATCCCAGGCAGCTAAGCTGGGCTCACATGGAGCTTCACAATTCCACTGCAACCAGCAAGCCTCAGGCCTGGTAAAGACATGACAAGTCTGGGCTTTCCCCAGTCAGGACTGTGTGCATGCATGTGTTAGCTGGAGGTTATGGTGCCTCCTACCTACCTTTCACTAGGGGATTATTGGTACTGGCATTTACGGGGCTGCCGCACCGCCAGCAGTTCCACCAGGCCTTCCTACCCTGGCAGCGTGCAGTTTTAATGGTCACGCCCAGGACCTGGGGTCTGCTCCATCCCCATAGCCCCAACCCATATCTCCAAGTTCATTGGCATGGGAGCAACCTCAGCAGGGACATGCTCTTCCCTTGCTGGCTGGTGATGCAGTGAGTGCCCCCTCCAGCTGAGAGCGGGGTATTAACTGGTTTTTAAAAAATGAAAAAAGGAAATAGGTGCAGATAGAGTGAGGAGTGTAGCATTCACTCCATCTGCACCTGGAGCTTGGAGAACACCAGTAGTGGGAGGTTCACCTTCAGGAACACCAGCTGCTCCACCAAACCATGTTCCAAGCAAGTACTGTGGGGTGTCACTACATCCCCAGTAATGCTGACCACCGTCTCACTCAGAACACTGGTCAGTGGACAGGACAGATGTTCCTGGGCAACCACGGCCAGATCTGGCCACATCTGGCTGTGGCTTGTCCAGTAGGCCAAGGGGTCACACAGCAACACCACCACGTCCTCGGCAATATAGGCAGCCACCAAGGCGTGAATGCTACCTGCCTGATGGTAGGGTCTGGTGGCTCTGGATCCCACCATAGAACCCATGCCCTTGGCCCACATTAGCAGTACCTGCGGTGGAGGAGGAGACTGGCTGGTGGATGGAGCGCTAGCATGGGACAGTGGATCC